GGTAAGAACCATATGTAGTATTGGACAACCTAAGGCAGGCATGGTCCCTAAGCCACATGCTTGTTGTTTAAACAGAGAGGGGGAGATGTTGAGAGCCACAGTTGAAGGGGCCCCAGCAAACTTCCAGCTGCCAGCAAACTTCCAGCTGCCAGCTGATGATTGGCTTACAGCAGCCCCAGCAAACTTCTAGCTGCCAACTGATTGGCTCCTCTGCGGTGATGCTCATTTGGGTTGTTTCCCCGCCCTTTCAGACCTGCTCATTGGGGGATTCAGAGCTGCTCATTGGGGGATTTTTTGGCTCCGCCCACACAACCCAGCCAATCGGCCTTAAGAACAGGAGGAGTGAGGGAGGTTGATAGGCTTGTGGGAAGCCGGTGGTGGCAATTGGGCTCTGAGGGTTTTCCTGAAGAGCTGTGTGGTGCAGTGTGTGTGTTCTAAAAATAAAGTTTGTTTCTTTTGACAAGTGGCTCCTGAATTGTGCCCAGCCAGACTGTGGCACCCAATACTAGAGTCCTCCTCAGAAACTAACAGTGAGCTCATCTATCATCATATCGGATGACCAAATATCTCCCAAGGCGTTACCACTGAGATTTTCACGCATGTCAAGTTCTAAAAAAGGAGTGGTCTTAGCAGCATATGACTTCATCCTAACAAGTGTCTGATATTGTTGTGCTAAGAAACAATATCATCTTTTGTTCTAAGCCTCTTTTGAGACACCAGTGTTATCTTTTGTTTTCCTCACTGCATAACCTTTTCATGCATTTCTTCACCTAAGCTTTCATTCTTTTCTTGTATCCATTTTTACCCAAACATTTCTTTGAAAGGAATACAAGGTTCGGTTACCGTGGTGGTCCAGATTGTCATCAGTAATGCTAGTTTTGCAAATGCTTCCCACTCACTCCATTCCTATCCATATAGGGTACAATTATAAAGGTAAAGAGCTAGTGGACTGCCTTAATCTACTAGGCAATATAACTGCACTCTTTCAAACCTAATTTGGTCAGATGGTAACATTAGTCCCTTAAGAATTATAACATCAACAGTTTTCTCACTTCAGAATCATCCCCTCTTCTGGTACCTACAGCTGTATACTGATCCTGAGACCACTGCATCAGGTAGAAAAAGAGAAAGTTGAGGTAACATGGAAGAAAAAGGAAAAGTACACTTATAAAGAAAAAGTATAGTCATACCAGCATCGTTCCCCAAATCCCATTTCCCAGAAAAGCAAAAGTATTTCTGTAGAGGGGACCTTCCTTTTCCACTTCCTATGTTGAATGTGATCATGTACTCATGAAGACACACAAACCAGGCCTTAATACCTTTATCTCCTCTCACCAAAAACAACAAATATTTCAGTTGCCCATTCTATTCTCTATCAAACTCTTACTCTGAGGATGAAAATATTAGGATCTCTTTGTGTCAACCAGCATCCACTTGAATTAATATGATTTGCCAGTTACATGCAGGGCCTTTCTTAATCACTGGATTCTGCCCCATAGCCTTCTGCAGTCTCTTAAAACAATTCTTATTGGCATTTTGTCTCAGAGGGTACAACTATATCTAGATTCAGCCTATCTTTACATTGGGGTAGCCCTTCAGTGTCCAATCATCTCATGGGCCAAGGTATCGGCATCAAGCAATTACACTTTATATCCACTCTCCATTTCTAATCAACTTCTAATCTTACAAGGAAGTTCTTCTGATGAACATTAACATATCCATCAGTTAACGCACCTGTTAATTTTCCCCAATGATTTCCTTAGGGCCATGCCCCAAGCAGACATTTCTTTAATAGATCAGTTTTCATTGCCCTTCTGCCTGACCATATGGCCAGCCCACTGGACACCACTCATGAGTCAGCAAAAACCCAAATTTAGAGGCAAGAATAATGTATTTCGGACCATCGAGTTGAATTGCTTTTATCTTCTTCAGCCAACTACAAAGTAGGAATACTTCAAAAGACTGCCTTCACTTCAGATACCAATTGCAAATTTAAGATACCTAAAACCACTCTTAGGTTTAATAATTCATTAGGATTCAGAAAACTCACTGAGAGCTGTTATACTCATTGTTATTTTTTATAGGGAAGAGATATAAATTAAAATCATCTAAGGAGAAAAGTACATAGGGAAGAATACAAGAAAGGTATCAAACAAGGAGATTACATTGTCCTCTCCTTTTGGAGTCATGGACATGGAAATGTTACCCTTCATCAGTGTATAATAGTACTTTCAGAGTATTGCCAGCTAAGAATGCTAACCTTAGCTGGTGGTATCCAGAGTTTTAGTGCCTGGTGGCTAAAGTCTCCAGGCAAAGACTTTTTATCAGGCATGTCATTCCAAGGGTCTAGAGAAACTTCCCAGAAGCTGAGAGTAAAGGCCCTATTGCCCTTTGGTCCAGGTTAAATTCTTAATTATATAGTAAACTGATTGAGCCATACAAAGAGAAGTCAAAAGTTTAGGCAGCCTTCCAGTATTCCAGTAATCTCTCCAAAATTTTAAGTTATTTCTTTACATCTTAGTTGATATAGTGTTACTTTAAATGAGAAAGAGAAATACTTATTCCCCAACATACCTGGCTCTATGTTTTGGTTATAACTTCTCACATTTATCTTTTGGTAATACATTGTAGGTAATGTCAGCACTTGAGCAGCAGATTATATTTACTTCATGCAAGTCAATATATAAGCTCATTTCTATTTTTACATATTGTACTATGTTTCCTGGTTATACTTTATTATGATAGTCACATAATGACTATTTTCTGAACAAAATAATCTAGTCCTCCTGTGGGTTGTCAGTTCTAGTGTCCTACTGTAACTGAAAACTTTTGCCTTTCTCACCTTTCTCATGATGTATTTTTAAACCCTAAATTTGTATCAGATTTTAACTTTTAAAAAAAGCAACATATGCATATCTAGTACTGTAATACTAGCTTAGTCATTCTCTACTTTATGGAAAATACTGAATGCCATGCTTACTTCATATTTCACATTGTAAAAGCAATGCTTTAAATCTAATTCATTCTTGAAATTGATAGAAGGAAATGCAAATCCAAAATCAAGAGTCAATTTGATTGACACCATTTTATATGTCTAGAAAAGGCTTCATCCTCATTTTTTCCTTTATTCTTCTTGTGGACAGGAATGCTTTCAGTTCATACTGCCAGCTCTACCTCATGCCATTGACCTTTTACGTGATGCCATTGTAAAAGTAAAGGAGGTACACGATGAACTAGAAGATTTACCTTCTCCACCACCTCCTCTCTCCCCTCCTCCTACAACGAGTCCCCATAAACAGACAGAAGACAAAGGGGTACAATGTGAAGAAGAGGAAGAAGAGAAGAAAGACAGTGGTGTTGCTTCAACGGAAGATAGTTCTTCATCACATATAACTGCAGCAGCCATTGCTGCCAAGGTAAGCCTGTTAAGAGAGGCTCAGAAAAAAAAAAAAAGAGAGAGAGAGGCTCAGAGATCTGGAGGACCCCCAGGTGAATGTGTTGATTACATCCCTCTTTCCATCCCCTTCTTCCATACTTCTCTTTAGAGCATACTAAAGAACTAAAGAACTGGGATATCCATTACACTCTATTATTATGTTTCCTTCTTGATATAGACCTTGAAGACAATGAAGTTTATTCTGTGCTATGAGACATTATAGATACTACTATCGCTTGTTGAAGTTTAGCTTCCATGACAAACAGTGTGACATTAAGAACTCTTTGAAGATATCATTTTTATGGGCATATTAAAATATAATATTTATATATGAAAAACATCAAAACTTAACATATTCTTAACAGAGCAGAAAACAAGTTAAAAAACCTTAGAAATCAGTTGAAAATTAATAAAAAAAATTTAAACACAAGTCTTTTAAGCAGTTGTCAAATGTTCCTTAACTAAACATTTATTTAAATAATATTGCACACAAATTACCCTAGTGGTATAGAGAAAAAAATGAATATAATACATTTGCATTTTTAACTTAATAAACTAATAGATATTGTTAGAATAATATCAACGTATTACAAATTCTCTTTGAACAGTTTTTGAGATATTTAAAGTAACTTCAGTCATTTTAAAGTCACTAAATGACTTACACTGTTATTCTTAACCTGGTAGAATTCACCTAATCCTCTTTAGTATCTTTAGAAAGGAACATATCAATTGTAAAAATGAAAATTGTTTATTTATTGATTAATAGCAGGAAGGTTGAAATTCAATTGCTTTATGAAGTAATTTGCAGAGTTTTATAGGTCATTCAGATATTTTGGCTATGAGCATAGTTAGGTTTTTATTGAGAAAATATAGATTAGAATCATAGAGAAATACTTTCCAAGTTTCTATTAAGGCAAGTAGCAAATGGTTCCTTCAATGAAGACAAGATGATCTATATCCAGATTATTCAATGATCTATTAAGTCCTTACTTAATACTAGTAAGTATTTAAGTTGTGTGTGATTTTTTAATGGAACAAATGGTTAAATAGGTACATTTTCTTCACTTTTACTCTTAACTAAAAGTAAAAAGTACCATTAGTTTCAGTCTTAAGGAAAACGTTTATAGAATTTGAAATCTAAGCTGATTTTGTTGCCATAGTTAGAAAAATATGGCATCTCATTGTTCCATTTGTTTTCACCATTTTTCCTTTTGGTCATTTTGCTTGTGTAGTTGCATGTTTTCCTGTCACTATATTCATAATTGTTATGTGTTGTGCATTAGAAGCATCCATTCTACACCAGTTCTGCTGTTATCATGGCACATGGTGCGCAGCCCATCCCTGGTCTCATCAATTATCCCCATCATGCAACAGGCAGTACAGATGAACGGGTAAGACAAGGCTTTCTCATTAATGATTTTGCAGATATACACCCTACTTCTTCTCTTTGGAGGTGGACTATAACATATCATGGAAGATGTGTTATTTTATTCCGATGGATTTTCAACAGTGTCTTGTGAAAGTATAACTGCCACTGAGCATAATTTATCAAGTAACATAATAGTTTGTCTTGTGCCTAATTATCTCTGCTATCATTGATTCTGTAGTTTGTGATAATGAGCATTGATCACATGACTTTCAAGAATTTTGTTGCTCCAAATTTTTTTCTTGGAAAATTTATGGATAATCTTTAAATAAATTGACTGACTTAATTAAGATAACCCCTTAAAGGATTACTTTGGGGTCATAAAAATCTAGATAGATTAGTCAAGCTAATGTTTAATTTGTATTTACCTTGCTTTCTACATTTTTTTTCCTCATGATTTTGCATCTCATTTATTTTCCTTCACTGTGTTCTCATTACAACCATTTAAGGAGTGGAATCTTAACGCAAATTCTATGATTTACATATCTTTAGAATCAAACTTTCAAGTATTTATATTCTTTTAAACAGATAAAAGTATATATTTTGAATGATAGTTTGAAAATTCCAAAAATTTCCAGATTAAAGAGTATAAAGTGGCAAAAATAAATCACTAAGTAGTGATAAGTTAGACCATGACTCAAAGGGAAGTGATTTACTGCATATGATGCATGCCTTAAATTTTTAGGACTTTGTTCTTTAGAGGAACAAGTTGAGGATGGCTGTTAAACTGTACTCACTACATGTCCTCATTTGGCATCACTCAGAACTTCTCATTTATTAATTGATGTTTAATAATCCTGTCTAAGTAGTAGTATTGGTTATTTTAACAGATATAACATTATTGTACTTTCTTTGATAAATGATAATAAGAGGAGTTCCTCAGAGTATAATATTCTTGCTCTTGGTACCTGGCATCCATAAAAAAGAATGAAAAGAAATAGGTAACAGAAAATAAAGAAAAGGAAAGCCTTTAATGCTCTAGTGCTTCTAAATGCAAATATGAATAGATTGTTTCAGCCATAAAGAATTTACAGCCTAGGTAGAGTTGCTCTCTTTATTACTTCTTCACTTTCCTTACTCCATTTTCTACTTCTTATACTTAAGAAAATGAAACAATCCATGTACTGATTCTTTAATACTTAGTTACTAATTATTGTCAAACAGATCGACTTGCTATTTCAGGAAATAAAAAGACTTGGGAAATGCCTCTTGTAATGGGTATTTGTTAGTTCCACATAAGCAGCCATTTCCCATTCCCTCTTTGTAATACTACACTGCACTTGAATCATGTAGTTTGGGTAAAGTGGCTTAATGTAAGTAGCATAACTATTTCAACCAGTCACCATTATTGATTCAATGAATACTTAATTCAAACCAGTCAGAGCCAGTGGGTCTTATCTCTTAGACTTTATTTGAAGTACTAGGACACAAATTCTGGAGTTTTGCTGAAAATGAATAAAGAAATATGTACAATTCCAATAATATCCTTCTTGTAATATTGCAAAGAAGACGTCCTACATAGTAGCATCAATTGTAAAGGAACAACCCTAAGAAATGAAAGATAGAGATACTGGGTCCTTATTCTATTATTTGAACCAACAACCCAAGCCCTGATGAGCTATATATAACTCTTGATTTTTCAGTTCTATGAACTAAAATAAATTTTAAAAGGCCAATTAGAGGTAGATAGGTATACTATTGTTAATAACCAAAAGCATTTTCTCTAACATGCATCAATATTACTGTCTCATCGAAAAGATTAAAAATGTTCTAATAATGACTATGTCATATCAAATAGGACTCCCTTTACTTTCATATTTGGGTTATATTTAACCCAAATATGAAAGTAAAGGATTTAACCTGATTTTAGAGGATAGAGAGTAGGGAGAATAAGACATAAAGGAGGAAGAAGAGGGGGAAAAAAAAACTCCTGTCTCTCTATGCTTATAAAATAAATGTGAAGTTCATCTCCTTGAGAGTATATACAAATCTGAAGACAACTTGTGCTTTATAGTGTGAAGGCAATTGATAGGTTCAAAAAAATTCATAATGACAGGAAAAGTATAAATTTAAGACAAAAAGGAAAGATACCTTTGGAAATACATAACAAGAAATCCCATCTCACTTACTGATTTAAATCTTCTGGAGAAATCAAGATTAAGAATAATTCTCTCAAGCTGCATTGAATGAAAGAAAATCTTCTGTTTTCCCTGGGAAAAGGTGGTGATTTTCTCCTGGTAAAAAGATATGGAGAAAACCATGTCAGATTCACATGATCACTTGGGAAGAAATCTGTCTTTCTAGAGCATTTGATTAGAACATGAGACAGAACCTGCCTGGAAATAAATGACACTATTATAAATGACCATGAATAAATACATTATAAAGTTTGGGTCAGAAGATTTAAGTATTTATAAGCACACATATATGGGGTTTTTTTGTTTCTATCAATGATGATTGTGGAATTTTAAAATTTTAAATTGAGTATCAGTCACTTTTCTAAACATTTTACATACATCAAATATTTACATTCACCTTCATTTTGCCCATGAGAAAATTGAAGCTCAGAATGGTTAAGATCTTAGAACTGCCTATTGGCTGAACTGGTGTTCAGGTCCAGACAGTCTAGTTCCAACATGAGCACTCTGACTACTCTGCAATAGTTCCGTACAATACAAGAGAAAAAGAAAAAGGGTAAAGTTCTAAGAGATGACCAGCTAATTACAAATGAAAATTGGTGTTTTGAACCTTGGTTTGAAATCCTTGAAATAAGATGCACTATGCAGCCTAAGAAATGTAACCAGTAGCATATGTGGAAGCTTACTGATCCAACAAGGGAGCTCTGAGCTCTAAGCAGCACTGGAGTGAGAAAAATATCTAGATTAATTCATGAAACCAAATACTTTGGAGAACACAGTATGAAGCATGTTAACAATTAATTTTTAAAGGACAAATTGTAACTCTTATACAAATATAAAATAAGTCTGTCAAAGATTTTATTTAACTAATTAATGAAAGGGAACTAGTAAATCTGTTAAGTAATTTCAAGGAAGAACTAAAGGTTATCAGTAGTCATGAGAGAAGGTGTGAAGGGCAAATCATATAAGTGAACCCTTGAAGGTTGAGTTAGGAAAGTGAAGATACTAACCCTTGAATAGTGAATATTTACTTTTATTCAGTTATTGTGTTAAGCCAGGATAGAAAATCAGGTTAGCAGAGGAGCAAAAGTTGAGAAGGACAAGACAGAAAATCCAAAGAAAAAAGGGATCTAATGATAAGATTTTTTAAAAAGAAAGGTAGCGTGGGGTCCAGTACTTGAAAAACAGAGTGAGGATCCAAACACTCAATCAAAGAAAAGTGATACTAAGAATGAGATCAGTGGAACCAGTGAAGACATTAAATCTGAAAGTGGCACTCAGTCCATTTAAAACTGATCTCATAAGACATCAGATCAGACATAGTACTACTTTTAAAAGTTTTTTTGAAGAATACTAAAAAGAGCATAAAGTGAAGATAGACATAGTGAAAGAAAGCTATGGTAGCAGAGAAAAATTATAAAAAGCTGTGTTTTTATCTTAATTAAAAAGAATTGAGGACTAACGTTATCTACCAGATTTTAGAACATGTGTTAATAGCATATATACCACTGAAAATTTAGGTCCTATATCATAATTTTTCTTTAAAACTTTAAAGTATTACCTAAACATGTGGCTTGCTCAGCATTTAATACCAAATTTTCATTCTTGGACTTTGAGTGTAGAATTAAACATTAGTATTCATATGAATCAGATGAGGTGGGATTTCATTTTTACAACTCAGCTATATTTAACCTTTGGATTTGAACATTAAAGTAAAACATCTCTGACAGTTGGTTGAAAAAGAAAGAGACCAATAATCAGCATATTTTTGTCCTAGAGAATAATATGCCAATATATTAAGTGATTAAAGTAATAATGAAAATACTTTTTGATTGCTTACTAAATTTTTCCATATAATGTAGAAAACTGATACTATAATGTAGTCACCAGCAAGATTTTACCTTTAATCTTCCTGAAACACAGATTTATATGGAGAACTAAAATGATAAGGACTGTTTACTACCATTGAAAGCATCAGAAAAGCTGACATTTCTAAAGTCATAGGAAAATAACTTTAAAATGTTTTATAAATATTCCTTGTAAAAAACAAGCTTCTATTTTAGTTTTTAAATTTATAAGAAAATATCTCATATTTATATGTTCACCACCTACACAAAATTAATAAGCATGATTTTCCTTTATAAATATGGATCATAAATTCTTGTGGACTATTTTGCATCACTGTTTTAATCTAAATTCAGGTCTTCATGTTTATTACTAAATTTCATATTGCTGGTTTCTGCCATTAATTTACTAACTAGATCTTTTAAAAATCTATGTTAGCCATCTAGTATATTACCTTTTTCTACCTCCTCTCGCAGGTGTATTAAGCATAATTTCATTCAAGTTACTGATAAAAATTTTTCTTAGGATAGGCCGTGTTGTGGTTTGTATCTTCAAATGTCCCTCAAAAAGTTCATATTAGGTAATGCAGGAATGTTCAGAGAGAAAATTATTAGATTTAGAGTTGTAGCCTCATTGGTGGATTGATCCATTGATTAATTTATTTGGTGGATTAATAATCTGCATTTCTGTGTGGTAAGGCAGGTGGGCATGACTAGAGGAAGTAGGTCACTGGGGTTATGCCTCTGGAGCCTATATCTTGTTGCTGCCTTCTCAAGCATATCTTCCTCCTTCCCCTCACTTCCTGGATGCCATGAACTAAAGGACTTTCCTCCACCACACCCTTCCTGCTATGCCTTATCTCAGACCCAGAGCAATAGAATTGGCCAGCCATGGACTCTGAAACTGTGAGGCCAAAATAAACTTTTCTTCCTCTAAGATGTTCTCGTCAGGTATTTTGGTCATAGCATCAAAAACTAGCTCA